ATATACAACTAAAGGAGACTGCGACCACACAAAAGGCCATACCATCTTGGTCTTTATACCTTGGCATTTTTTGAGTTAAATTTAATACCCAAATTCCTTAACTTTTTATCATGTCGGTATCTGTCAATCTTATCCATCCTTTCACCCAGATCATCCGCCTCAATCTATAATTTGGGGATGTCTTGTTAAGAAAATAGCCGAGAAAGGGATTGTCTAGTCCTTGTTTTGGTTCTAATCAGGTCATGTAATTTCTCTATACCCTCCTTTAGTAACCTAACCACTTGATACCTGTTACAGTTTCCTATTATTGGAAATATGTAAACTTAGATACCTACAAATAAAACATAATCTGGGTAATATATTATGTGAAATAGAAATTAAAAAAATCCAATTATATTGACTTGCCGGGATATAAATCTCCTGATTTTCGTATAGCCAGAAGAAAGATGATAAGAATTTGTAGCATACATACCATATGCAGCATATGCGAAGAAAAGTTGGATTTCGATGAATACCTTGTCGCATAATTGTTGAGCTTACTTTCATTTCGAGAGAAAATGTTTGGTGAAGAGGGTATAAATATGGCATATAGTGAGTTTTTCAATTCATTAACTTGAATATGGTATTAAGAATGATATCCTACTCTGAGGATGTCAGTTATACGACGGACGAAAGCCTAACATACTTTCACCGGAATCGAAGGAGATTGCCTCGGAAGCAGTGTCAACAGTCCTGTTCCAGTAAAGCCAATCTACAACTGTTCAGGAGGAATCCGCCGTCGTCTTCCGGTTAGATCGATCTTCGAATCTCTTCACCAAACACTTACACATGAAATGTAAGTAAGCTCAACAATTATGAAACAAGAGATTCCTCGAAACATAACTTTTCTTCGCATATATTTTATTTTAGTCAGATTCAACTATCAGTCTTTCATCACCTCAAAAAATAGAGTGAATATATATTATATATATGACCTACTTGTAGTCTATGAAACCTACTTATAAAAAAAATAAGTCCTTAAATCGGCTTAGTCGGACTAGAGTGAAGAATTCACTATCCATAAACTTACGGTTAACCTCGATGCCTAGTTATATCGAAAAAATGTAACACAGTCGATTGAAATGACTAACAAATTTTTGCTTACGTAGAAAAAGTGGTTTTCAAAAGCTTTCTTAATAGATTTATGCCGCAGTATCTTTCATTTTGCTTGAAGTAGGGAGGTAAAAGGATGTGTAAATTCGTCATACTGTAAGTCGAATGAGGAGGGGGTTTCCTTGGAGCTGTGAATATAGATTTGTGCGAATAGCTCCTCGGCGCACTGAACTTCGAGTTTGAGGAATCTTTGTTGAGCTTATGTCCTACGTGCTGAATTTTCCCCCAATCATATGGGTGGACTTCAATGTTCTATTAAATTTCGTATAGCCTTGCTTTCCCAAAAGGCATTGTCATACAGGCAGGAGTTTACTACAGGTTTAGGCTCACCTAAAATAGCCTCAGCGGGACTCGAACTCGGGAGATGATAGTGTAGCATAGAATCTCGCCATAGTTAAGAATACGCCGATGGTGATTGTCGATGAAGCAAAGTTGTATTTGCTGTAGCAGTAGACTACATTAATTATTTTTCGTAGTATGAGTAGGTTTTCAAAACATGAGATGCACTTACCCTATTCCATTTAAGAGGATACGGGATAGCTCTTTTCGTTGATACGTGGGGTTTTAAGACTACCAGCAAATCCGTTATATAAGTGGTATTCACCCCTTTCGATTGAGGTGATGAAGGACTGATAGTTGAATTTTCCCACAATCATATGAGTAGAGCTGATGCTTCCAGTGAATGTTACATAGCCTTGTCCTCCCAAAATGAGTTCTCATCCAAGTTGAAGTGGATTGAAGTTTCGACCTCGTCTAGGTCTTATCAACATCCCCAGCTGGATTCGAGCAATGACAGGGTAGCGTGTGATCTTGATTGTCCTTGTATCTAAGGGCAGATATGAATGTCAAGGAAGGCATTTTCCCATAGCATATTCTTTGATGGGATTTTCGATGCAGTAAAGTTATATTTGCCATGATACTCGACTAAATTACTTATTTTTCATTCCTTAGTAGGGTCTCGAGACTAACAGTAAATCAGTTGAATGAGATATATATATATATATATTTCGTTTAAGGTAATGCAATCCACTCTGGATGAGAATATCTTTTGAGAAAGCAAGGTCATGTGAAATTTAATGTAAACCTCAGCTGTACTCATATTATTGTAGGAAAATTCAACTACCAGTCATTCATCACTTAAAACGAAATAGGGAGAATACATATCCTATATTCATACATGTTTGCTTACTCGACAACCCCATTAGAACAAGAGTAATTGGGAAAAGGCCTGACTTGCCTTGATTTTCACATCTGCCCTGTGATTCATCGATATTAGTGACTATCTATTGAAGTGGTAAACGTCGCTATGGTATAAACGTCCCAGGTTCGAATCCCACTGGAACGAAAGCCTAATTGGAATCGAATGACATCGTAAGGCCTGCTTTTCCCAGTTTGGCACGAACTCTACTCTCCGTCCAAGTCTGGCCAAGTTCTTGCTCCATCCTAACTCATGATCTCAAAATCTAATTGTGCCGTTGACTCATGCTATCATTCGTGGAATGTGTTAGATAAGAATTCTAATCAGCCTAGATCGCATCCAGTATGATTCAGAAATCCTTAGTGGAATGGAATAGCTTCGGTAGGTCGGAGGTCGAATCTCAAGATTAAGGTAAACCTAAACCAGTCATTCGGTCCTTAACTACCATACGCGACGAAAGTTTGGTACCGTCTCGAGGGGTCGTGTTGTCCGGACCATCCCAGTTGCTTTCTGATACCCTCCTGCCCGGTGTCGTGTCTCCAACCTCTTCAGGTGGTGACGGCCGGCATTCCCGGCTGCGCTCTGCCGTGTCACTCGGCCTATTTCGCCAGTCTGGCCGACCGGCGCTTCGTGACTCTCTGGCTCGGTCTGTGGGCAGTGCTCTGCGGCCTCTCGAGTCTGGCCACTCTGCTCACCTTCCTGGCCGATCTGACCCGGTTCAGCTATCCTGAGCGACCGATCGTCTACCTCTCCGTCTGCTACCTCATGATCGCCCTGGGCCACCTCGTTCGAGTCGGCCTGGGCCACGAGGCCGTCGCCTGCGAGTCGGCCTACGCTGTAGCTCATCGGCTCGTCAGCTCGTCCGCTATTTCTGGTACATCCGGAACATCCGGCACATCCGGTTCGTCAGGTCCGTTGGGCCAGGGACTGATGCTGGTCACAATGACCGACGGCCTGCTTAATTGGACTCAAGAGGCGACGTCACAGTCGTCGGCCCATCTGCTGGTTGAGACGCCGGTCAAAGTGCTCGGTTACAGTCTCACCGGACGGCCGGGATGCGCCTCCGTCTTTCTGCTCACGTACTACTTTACAATGGCCGCCGGACTCTGGTGGGTGATGCTCACGCTGGCCTGGTTCCTGGCCGCCGGAATGAAGTGGGGAGGAGAGGCAATCGCCAAGTACTCTCAGGTAACCACCAACATATATATATATGTAT